GTCTTCATTGGAAAAATGGAGTGTTCTACACTTTTGGGGGAAGTGTACATAGGGTGCTTGGCTCAAAGTGTGGTGTCTAACAAGGGTTTAATAATACCTTAGGGTAATGTTACACATGTTTGTTTGATTCACCATAGGGGTTAAGTAAAATTTATTCCTCTGAGGACAATCATTTTTCTTATTCTTAGCTTCAATCATTCAATCAGTCATTCATTCATGAAATCATTTATTCAACTATTTATTGAATACCTATTTTGTGCCAGACACTGTTTTATGTACTAGAGATGTTGTTGCAGAGAAAATATAGAAGTCCTTACCCTTATGGTGCTTACATTCTAGTAAGTAGTGCCTGTCCATACTACATTCTCGTAGTGTAGTGTGTGTCAGACAAAACACACTTAAACAGCATATAGCGTGTCAATATGTACATTTAGTGATGCGATGCTTTGCTTTTCCCCACACCTGTTGTTTTAATCAGTGGTCAATTCAGTAACCAATGGTATCTTAGAAGTTAGAAAATACCATATGTCCATTTTTTTATTAATTAATCACAGTATTTCTGGGGGAATTTTTGCAAATCATGGCAAAAAGCAATTCTGAAACCTCCTATTTCAGAATTGGACTGAATACTAAGCTTCCATAAGCCATTTTAATCCTCTCAACCTCCCTCTGAAATAGATATTACCCCGCTCCCTGATTTTATAATGCAGGAGATCGTTTAGGAGGGTTCACAGATTGTAAGAGACATTTTCTGGGTTTGGTTATGAGTTGTTCCTTGACTGCCCAGCACCAGTTTTCTCTCTGGGGGATATGGCCATTATTTACATAATACATATGTATAATCAGTGATCTCTGCGGAAGGTGTCCTGCCGCTTCGTGTGGAGACAAGCTTGTGGACTCTGAACGTCAAGGTAAGAACACTGACCCAACCTAAGCAGCAGAACCTCTCATTAAAGACTCTGAAAGTGGTGGGAGAGAGGAAAAGACAATCAGAAACCAGAGCCTCGCAGCAGTGTCCCTGACTGCCCAGCCGGGCCTGTGCCCGGCTGTAAGGTGCCGGGGTCCCAGCCACAGAGTGCTCCTCGGCTTTGGTTTCTGCTGCCCTTATTTCTGCTGGTTCTCCCAGCCTGATGTGCTGGCCTTCCTGGCAGTCTTCTCAGATGCCTGATATCCTTTAAAAACTGAATCATCCAAACAGATTTTCATAGCTTGAAACTTAATAACACTGACTAATAATACATTTAGAAAATGACCAAATCAATATTTAATTTTAGGTCTGTCTAAAAACAGAACCCCGTAAGTAAGTCAACTGGGCAAGCAGTAATTTATTCAACAATTATTCATCATATGCACAGCAGGCTCCATCTCAGCAACCTAAATGCTGCAGATTTACTAAAACCCCTATGGAATCAAGGGCTTCCCAGGTGGCACTAGTGGTAAAGAACCTGCCTGCCAATACAGAAGAAGTAAAGGATGTGGGTTCGAGCCATGGGTTGAAAAGATCCCCTGGGATAGGAAATTGCAACCCACTCCAGTATTCTTGCCTGGAAAATCCCATGGACAGAGAAACCTGGTGGGCTATCGTCAATGGGATCGCAAAGAGTCAGACATGAGTGATCACGCCATGGAATTGAATTCAGCGAGAGTCTAAAAAAGAGCAATTATTTGCAGTGAACTTGATTCTATAATTTGAAATACTTAGTCCCTTATATTAGTGGTATATTGAAACCTAATTTCTGTATAAACTTTCTACAAAGTCTGCAGGATCCCCAAACATCAACCCAAACATCAGTAAACATGAAACAGATTGTCAACCTCCAATGTGCATATTATTTTTATCACCCAATTTTTCTATAGATACTATGCTTTCCACATTTCTCTGGGATATGGTCTCTCATTTTATTATATTTTAGTCATTGACTTGCTGTGATATGACTTTTTTAGGTTGGAATGATTTGAGTTTAACTTAGTCTTGACACAAGAATTGTAGAAAGCAAACTTTTGCTCCCCTGTGAAGAGAAATTATCTTCTAGGATGAGAAAATACCTAGAAATTATCAATTTTTGCACTTAACAATCAAAGGGTCATACTTGGGAGTATTGGGATTTATTGAGTTCATGCAAATGAAAACTGGATGCTGGAATCTTCTAGAAATATCTAGATCATACTTTGTATTAGTTGCTCAGTTGTGTTTGACTCTGTGACCACAGGGACTTTGGCCCACCAGGCTCCTCTGTTCATGGAATTCTCCAGGCAAAAATACTGGAGTGGGTTGCCATTCCCTTCTCCAAGGAATCTCCCCAACCCAGGGATCCAACCCAGGCCTCCTGCATTGCAGGCGGATTCTTTACTGTCTGCACCACCAGGGAAGCCCAGATCATACCTTATAAGCAGTTATTTTCTTCAGTTTGCTTCCAAAAATGGCTCTTTGGAGTTCTGGAAATGAGAGCATTTTCTCTCAATTGGTCCAGAATTTCTTGCTACCATTCCTCCACTTCCTATCGGCACTGGACCATCATGATAAACTGGAACAGTAGTGTGGGGAGAAAACAGGGGAATGAGATGATCAAATGGAGGGAAGTTTGAAGGACTCATTCATTCTTTGTTCTTCAATTGTGGCATCTGCTATGAAGTTACAGTAGTAAGTAGTATACTGTATAAGATAGGAGAATATATTGATGGAAATGTTGAATGATTATTGTAATAGTCTTTTCCTTTCCTCAGACCAAAAAGTGGCAACGAGTGTATGTGTTCATTCATTCATTTATAAAACAACCTTAAGCGAGACTTGTATCATTCATTCTTCAAGGAACAGTATAATTCAGTTAGTTGAACTAGTCTACTAGATCTGTGATTCTCTTTTTTCTTCTGAGGATCATGTTCTGTGTATCTCACAGCATATAATGGAGATGATGTTCACAAGTATCACAAATTCTCATCGAGCACCTGGGATTATTCACCAGACCCCCATACATGGCCTGTGACTCCACTATTTCCTCTTCATGTAGGAAAGTATATAACCATGCAACAGAGCGAGAGAGAGATCACCTAGGAATAGGCTTGAATCTAGTCATAGTTATTCTAATATCTAACTAAGACATTCACATGCTTTTATCACCTGACAAATATTAGTGTTAAATTATTTGCAACAGGCTTCACAAATGACTTTAAATACCAGAAATGCCACACTGTTGCAGATGGCAAGGGCGATACTGAATACTTTCTGTGACCAGGGATGTTTTTGGCATTTTGTATATCTTGTTCATTTCATAATCCTGTTCACTCAATTACTCCAATGGTTTTCCAAGCGTGCATCAGAATAACCTGCACAGCTTGTTAAAACATATCTCCTAGGCCCCAGTCCCAGAGTTTCTGACTTAGTACTTCTGGGTGGGGCCTGAGAATTTACATTTCCAACAAGTTTCCTAGTAATTCACTGACTGAGTCATTCATGTATCCATCAGTCAAACCAGGCAATCCTAAAGGAAATCCACCCTGAATAGTCACTGGGAGGACTCATGCTGAAGTTGAAGCTCCAATACTTTGGCTACCTGATGTGAAGAGCTGACTCCTTGGAGAGGACCGTGATGCTAGGAAAGACTGAGGGCAGGAGGAGAAGGGAGTGACAGAGAATGAGATGGTTGGACGCCATCATTGGCTCAATGGATATGAATATGAGCGAGCTCTGGGAGTTGGTGATGGACAGGGGACCTGGCATGCTGCTTTCCAGGGCATCACAAAGAGTTGGATACCACTGAGCAACTAAATAACAGCGCATCTATTCAAAGAACATTAATTAAAAGCCTACCCGGTGCCTGGGATCAAAGTAAAAAGATAAATTGAACATTATTTTGTAAAAGCTGATGTCTACTGAGCACTCTGCTTTGTTATGACCTGATTTACTCCTTTATAATAATTCTTCAAAGTAGGCACCTTTTCCCCCATTTTTTCAGGAAAAGTTACATAGCTGAAAAAGATTAAGTAACCTGCTCAAAGTCATATGGACAAGTGTCAGAACTAGCACTTGAACCCAGGTCTACTGGATGCAAGTGGTGCCCACAGACATCATGCTACATGCTATGCTATCTCTGTAATGTGATGAGCTTGCACACAATATTACTGTTAGTCTTTTGCAGATTTAAACAAACTGATGTTCAGAGGTTACATAACTTGTCCAAAATCACACAACTAGAAAGTATCTTAAAATTCAATCTCAATTTGTTTGATGCCAAAGTGATTTTGCACCATTTCTGCATGCATTTCTGCATTTTCTTAGTCAAGATCCATCTAAATCAGAGCCAGGAACAAGAGTATGACTCTAGTTAATCAGAGTGCACAGAGAAGGCGGAATTTAATGTCTCAGTTAACAAAGAACATCTCTCTTGCGCTAACTTATCCAAAAGCTTTCTAACAGTTACCAGTGTACCTTGCACCCTAAGTCAGCACAGAATAATGTACTGTTTCCTTGATGACTCAGGATCTTACGTGTCCCAGCACCATCATTATAAGCAGCATTCGTTTCTGAGAAACGTCCAAGTGGATGCAGAAGGTGATTGGGGTGAGTGTGTGGGGAGCCCAGAATTACTAAGGACAAATTAAAGTATATTCTATTTATTTACCTTGCCTGCAAGTAGAATGGACAAGGCCCCAAACTGAGACTTATTAAAGGTTTCAACCGAGATGGGTTCAGATTAATCATGTTTACTGCAATTCGTGGAATTATTAATAGCTGACAAGCTACGTTAAAAGTGACTGTTTTTCCTCCTATTGCCACTTGATAAATGGCAAAGAATGAAGCTTTCCCTGACTCCTGTGTCCTACTGTGTTACCCCGTCATCAGGGGAGAAAGGAGCTGTATAATTACCTTTTGAGACATGAATCATCCTTACTCTGAGGCCCAGACCTGTTTGACTCTATAAAAGCAGCTCAAGGTTGAAGTGCAAACATGCACTGTCTCGCGTCCCCCAGGGTTGCTATAATTACCCATCCACCAAGAGGAGATGAAGGTGCTCCCTGCATCTGGCCTTGCTGTCCTCCTCGTCACCGCTCTGAAGTTTTCCACCGCAGCCCCCTCCCTGCTCACGGCCTCCCCCAGGACCTCAAGGAACAACTACCACCTTGCACAGGTTTGTGAATCTTTGCACAATTCCCTCTTCCCCCTCCAGCCCCAGAAAATCTAAAGGGGATAATAAGAAAAGCATGAAAATCTGTTATGGTTTTGAAATCGTCTTCTAAGTCCACTGAAGTCCGATGGATATGATTCCCTGTACAGCTAAGACTGGTGTCTAGTACACGCTGAGTGTCTGTGTTGCAAGATTGCATAAATAAATAAATGAATATCTATCCAGGGATTTTGCTGCACACAGAATTTGAGGGGGCTTGCAAAAATACAGGCATTACAGAAAGACAAAAGAAGTGTTTGGGAAACAACATAGAAGGAAAACTAAGGGAAGAAAAATAAAAAACAAAGTGTAAGATTTGCACAGTAGAGGTGGATTGCAAATTTAGCGCTAAAATTCCTAACAGTCACAACAGAAAGATTTCCTGTGTTCACTTTTCAGAAAAACAGCTCTTATACTCAGGGCAAATTTGATCAAAATTTGGAGTGAACCAAATTTTTCTTGGATCCCAACCCACTTCTCATGCCAAGGTCTTTCCTCTCTAAAGCATATTCCCAAAGTCCCTTATTTACTTACACTTTCTGTACCTTTCTCTTTTAAAATCTCTCCCAAGTGACTGTTGGCAAGGATCTAATACAAATAATTCATTCAGCATACCAGAATTCCTTCAAAGACTAAGAGTGACTCCAAGTGATTCAATGTATATTTGCTTCCAACTGTTTTGGGGGTTTTTGAGGGGGGGCGGGGGGGGGGGAGGGATTTTTTTGCTTTTTTTTTTTTTTTTACATTTAGAGAAAAGGCAGCAAAATTTAGCCTAAAGAAATAAATCTTCGATGGAGGAATTTCCAACATTAGTGAAAGGTGTGTAGTGAGACTTTTTGCACCAGGGCCTCTGTTGTGTGCATCTGTCACAAAGACAGCACACTTGTGATCGCAGCCCTGCTGGGGACTGCTTTCCTACCTGCCAGGCTACACTCGTGGGCAGCTTTGCAGAGCTGATCTTCTGTATACACCGCGTGTCCCTTCTGATGGCTCATGCCACTCTTCCTTTCTAACTGATCAGTCCCCCTGCCCACCGGTCGTTCAACGTTTTGAATATCAGCCCTCCATATAAACAGCACAGTGGATGCCGGGTACAGACCTGTTGAGCTGAACGTTCTTTGACTTGAAACCACTTTCAGACGAACTAAATTCTAAATAACATATCTCAGAATACTAACTGGGTCTATTTCCAATCATATTTTGCCACCAGGCTTTGCCTCCCTTCTCCTGACATGTAATTGTCACTTACCCAGTTTCATGCCACTCTGATTCAGACAACTAGTCTTTGGGGTCTCCAGAAGGAGTGTCATGCCAAGATTAGAACTGATCTGGTGGCTGAAAAATCATGGTTTTGTCCAGGTTCAGACAAGCTATGGTCATGGGGCCCAAATCAGCCACCCTTGTTTGTTTACAAATCATCTACTGCATTTGTACCACAATGGTGGAAATCACGTGATGAAACAAAAATATTAATTATCAGACCTTTCAGAAAACAGTTAACTGACCCCATAGTGGTCTATGCAGGAATAAGGTCAGTGAGCCTTGGAATAAATCTATCCTTGCTAAGGGTATTGGGAAAGAATTAAGTGTTCTTGGAACGTTAGGGATCTCTAGTGACTCCCTGGGGCTTCCCTGGTGACTCAGATGGTAAAGAATCCGCCTGCAATGTGGGAGACCTGGGTTTGATCTCTGGGTCAGAGAAGGGAATGGCAACCCACTCCAGTATTCTTGCCTGGGAGATCCCTTAGACAGAGCAGCCTGGCGGGCTACCGTCCATGGGGTTGCAAAGAGTCAAACATGAGTGAGCGACTGACACTGTCACTTTCACAGTGACCCCTTATCCTTCCTCTCCAAAGCAAGTCAGCCCCCTGCAGTCTCCCTCACGGCATACTTGGAAAGACCTTCGACCAAAGAGCAAGGAAACTTGTTGACACCTGGCAAACAGGACTTCTGCCTGCAGTGGCCCTAGGCATCAGCTCTGGGCAGGAAAGGGCATCACTCTTCAGCAGGCTGGTATGATCTAGCCAAACCTCCCAAGTGCATCCCAATGACTAGAAAGAATTACTGTCCCACCTTATAGTTTAAAGAAATAGCTAACAACTCAGGCAACAATACAACAAATGAAACAACATGAAAATAGACTTTATTTCATAAAACAGCTTAAGTTTATTCATTTAGCAATTACTTATTGAATGGCTTCCCTGATAGCTCAGTTGGTAAAAGAATCCACCTGCAATGCAGGAGACCCCAGTTCGATTCCTGGTCGGGAAGATCCACTGGAGAAGGGATGGCTAAGCTGGTAGAGAATCCCCCTGCAATGCGGGAGACCTGGGTTTGATCCCTGGGTTGGGAAGATCCCATTGAGAAAGGAAAGAGTATCCACTCCAGTATTCTGGCCTGGAGAACTCCATGGACTATATAGTCCATGGGGTCTCAAAGAGTCAGATATGACTGAGCGACTTTCACTGTCACCCTTTCACTTACTATATGCTATGTGCCAAGGTATGTCCTAAGCACTGGAGAAACATCAGTGAACAAAACAAGTAAAGTTCCTGTTCTTCCAGCACTGACATGGGGGTGACGGAGGAGTGGGAAGGGCTGGGAGGAGACAAACCAGGCAATCGATAAGTGTCCATGTGATGTTAAAAAATAAATTTACCAGGATGATAGTTACTAGGGCCCTGGAGGGGGAGGGGGGCATTCTCACCTGAGTAGTCCAGGAAGGCTTCTCTGAGGAAGGGACATTTGCAGTGAACCTGAACTCTGTAAAGAACGATGTGGACCTGAACTTCTTGGTCGTGTGAAGATCTGGAGACAGACCTATCCAGGCAGAGGAAAGAGTGAGTGCAGCAGCCTGGGGCAGCAGGCCAGATGGCAGGAGGACACCGCCGAGTCCAGAGTCGGGCCAGCACACAGCGGGGCCTGCGAGCCCAGGCCGGGCTAAGCACCTCCACCCTGCTCGCTTCTCTCTCGATTGCTCACCAAGAGAGGGCAAATGGTCTCCTGTGCCTGGGAACTCCAGGCAGGAAGTGTTTCCAAGTGCTCTTCACTTCCTCCACCCAGGAACGGATAGTCTGTTCTTGAAAAGATAAACAGATTTTTAATTGATTAATTTCATGCTCACTTGTATCTTTTCAATTCTTATTGGCTAATTATCAAAAGGCTTGGAAAATGAAATAATTAGTCTCATCGTCCAGAGTTCTAGCCTATTGTTTGTTTGTTTTTAAATAGTAATATCAATATGACATTTAATACAGGCTGTTAAGTTGTCCTTAAAATAATAGAAGCTTTTAATATCACATTATTATGAACTTAAAATTGAAAAAAATAAAAATAAAAAATCTTCCGAATACAAATAGTTAGATTCAGGGGCCTTTACTACCCTTTTACTTTCTGTTCATAAATATATTTTTAAATCATCACTTTACTCAAATTTTGGTTCCTTCCTTTTTTATTATTATATCATAATAAACTTTGATGCTTATATGTTCATAAACATCATGTTTAAAACTGACAAATATTTCAGAAAATAAGTGAGCTATAATTTGTCCCATTTATATTCTTGGATACATGGAATATTTCCATATGAATAAGATTTCTGTGAACATCTTTGTACATCAGCTTAATCTAACAGATTACTTTTTCAGGATAGATTTCCTGAAGTGGAATTAGTGAGTAAAAGGGTAGGAACATGTTAAGGTCTTTTGATACATTTCAAAGCATTTTCACACTGAGCATCTCATTGGATCCTCACCTTGGTGTGGGAAGGATAGACACCGACCCCATCTCATAGATGAGAAAACTGATACCAAAAGAAATTACAGGAATTGCCCACACTTTTTAGAACCTAGGATTTATCACGCTGAAAATTCACATAGTTCCATTTCTGTGACTTTGCCAAAACAGAAAGAAATGTTGAAGAAATCGTATCTTGAAGTTTATCTTCTCTTGAGGAGCACTTAAATCTGAGCTTTAAGCTCACTCCTCCCAGGAGGGACACTCGGAAGGCACACTCAGTAAGAGCTGGGCGGGATACGAGCTTCTGGGCCTGCTCTCCAGGCCTCTGCTATTCTTATCGCTGGAAAGAGGATCACCCAAACACCAGCGACAGGCTCCTGTGGTTTTCCCAGTGAGGATGAAGAGGTGGAAGCACGTAGGAGAGTTCTGGGGAGGCTGAAGTCCTTGACCCAGCTGATCCCACAACCAAGAGCTGAGCCAACAGCACACAAGTGTTAGAACAGAATGCACAGTTCTAGGTGAGCACCTTTGTGCCTAACTGAACATTTTGACTCTGGAAAGCATGCTAAAACCTCGTCAGTAATTTTAGCAATAAAGTGCACAGAAAATATTGGCCTCTCTGTACCACAGAACATCTGATAATTCTTCAAAGAAGCACATTTGCTATATTCTGCCTAAAGAATAAGAGCTCAAATGGTAACTGAACATCCACCCTGTGTCTGGAACTGGGTCAGGCCACGGCCATAACTGTGAAGGCATCATCATGCCCAGCAGGGAGGACCGTGAGACCCCCGAGTGGGAGCGAGGAGAAGGCCATGGACTGTGTGCACGGCGGCCGGTGCTCCATCCAGTAAGAGCCGTGTCCCTCGGGAGCACCCAGTGGGGAGCAGCTCATCCGATCACCGCAGCAACCAGTCCTCGTGCTCTAAGGAGAAATCATTACTGATTCTACCTTTACTTCACTGAAGATGGTTTGCATCCTATTTACTATCACTGGCCTTAAACTTCTTGAGCTGCAGGCCTAGCCTCTTATGCGCATTTTGAAGAAGAACCATTTTATTGTAAGAATTTTATAGGTTCATAGCAAACATATATATAAAACATATATGATTTTAAAAGTATTATTCTTAATTCTATCACCAACATATAAGAACTGTTAATCCCTTAGTTTATATTTTTTGAAATACTTTCTATGACTTGGGGCTGGGACTAGGATGAAGGACTGTCGCTGAAGGTTGGATCCTATCTTTATTTAAAATTTTAATTTTTTTTCCACCGTGAATTTTTTTTGCCTTAATTTAAGTTTTTTCCAAACATATTGCATTTGATATTATTTTTCTGGATCGCTGTGTTTTTGGCAACCCCCTCCACTTCCTCACCTCATCCTAGTTTATCACTGTATATCTGTGTGTATTCATGTGCACACATTTCTATTTACAAACTTGGCTTGTACTATAATAATAATAGTGATAAATCTCTTTTCACTTAATGCATATTAAGCATCTTCTTCAGTTCAGTTCAGTCACTCAGTCATGTCTGACTCTTCGCGACCCCATGGACTACAGCACGCCAGGCCTCCCTGTCCATCATCAATTCCCAGAGTTTACTCAAACCCATGTCCATTGAGTCAGTGATGCCATCCAACCATCTCATCCCCTGTCAGCCCCTTCTCCTGCTTTCAATCTTTCCCAGCATCAAGGTCCTTTCAAATGAGTCAGTTCTTTGCAGCAGGTGGCCAAAGCATCTTCTTATGGGACCATATTTTGTGAAATCAAAACTAGAGTTTAGAGTGTAACTGTAACATGTAACCTAACAGGAAACAAAATATTTGAAATTTAAACAGCCACAGAACATATGGAGCACAGAGCTCCACACAGAGCTCACCTCTAAAGGCTGTAATTCAGACTAACTATGAGCGTTGTATGACTGCAGCATCCACTTGAGCAAACAGAATAGCTCAGAGAATTACCATCATCTTGCCAAAAGAATCAGAAACATAAATGCGTATATCAGATCGCTTAATGAGACATGGAAATGAAAGCAAATAGTCACACCTCTGTTTCAGGGCACCTCTCCTGTGTTTCAGGGCTCCCTTACCCTTTTTCTCCTCTTGAGTTCTCATCTCACTAAGATTTTACAAAGAACAACCACCAGGGAAGTGAGGTCTGCTCACAAGCAGGCCAAAGAGTAAGGGCAGGTTGAGTCCACAGTAAGGACACTGTAAGGACACAGAGCACCTTTTCTAAACAAGTGAGTCTTACTCCTTTTCACTTTTTGCTTAACAATTCAGCTTATGTTGATACCAAATCTTTGGGATATAGGAAAGGATAAAGACAAATTGTCACCCATAATTTTACAACCCAGAGATAAGCAAGATTAATATTCAGATATATTTCCTTCCATTATTTATGTTACTTATGTTCACTATATTAATAAATTATATATGTGCTAATTACCAATGCATTGACTAGTGTGTTAACTTTAAATGTTAATATACATGCTAACATTATTATTGATATATTAACATACAGATATAATAAACATGAACATAATACATATATGTCATATGATTTGGTTTATGTATGAAATTGTGATTATAATCTGTATAAAGGTTTCACTTCTGCTTTTCTCAGTGTATTGCCATTATACTGACTCATTATACATGCCACTAAATATTTTTCAAAAATGTGATGTTAGCAGGGGCCTAGTATTACTTCATATCAATATATAATAATGTATCTAACACATTCCCTATTAGATATTAAGATTACTTCCAAAATTTTATTATTTGTACATAAATATATTTAACAGAAATGAATAATACACATAGTTTATATAGAATATAATAAAACACATGGTTTCTGAATATAGTTCATATGATATACAAATAATATTATTTGTATACAACAAACACCCTATGACATATAATTTAAACATTTATGTTTAATAAAATGCAGGTATAAATCTTTAGCGGCTTTCTGTTTTCCTGAAACAAGTTTGGTGGATGAAATTCCTAGGACAACAGCAGGCACTAAACCTGCCATTGCATGACTACGTTATTCACTTCACCCGAGAAGTCATAGAGTGTTTTGAGTGATATATTAGGGGTTTTAAGCCTTTAAATGCAAATGAAGACATTATATTTATGACTAATTTTCTACTATTTGCTTCAAGGGACAAACAGTCAGTCCTAGAAAACCTGCCCATTGAAAAACACCCCACATATTGAACACACCTGAATTATTTAAACGTCTCAGCCAGAAAACAGATTGACACCTATTACTTTCACATAATATGAGAGATCGTATTATGAGGCCTCACAGAGTTAAGAACATACTAATCTTGCACAGTGTATAATGAAAAGGCGACTCTAATAGTTGCTTACAGAGAAATAGGATAGTCTTTATTTTGCAAACTGGTAAAGACTTCAATACAAATAAATGGGCTGTGGAGAAAATGTTCACATTATTTTCTTTCTAATTTTTTTTCTCTTAAAATAGCAGTTCATTGTAGAAAAACCACGAAATGCATGCAAATAAAAAAATCTAAAATCCCACCTCCCAAAGATAATTGTTGTTAATAACTTGGACTTATGTATCTAAGCTTTATCTATGCAAATATATCTAATTTTTTTTCAAAAGTGGCAAATGCTGTGCACACTGTCTTTAGCGTAACAAGAATACTGTTCTGTCTTACCTGAGCATGAGTGTTGCTCAGAGCTTGTGCTGTAGACGTCAGCCTGCCTCTCCGTTTCAGGCGTACCTTGACAAGTATTACACAAAAAAAGGAGGGCCCCAGATTGGGGAGATGGTTGCAAGAGGAGGCAATTCCACGGTTAAAAAGATTAAGGAGCTGCAGGCGTTCTTCGGCCTCCGAGTCACCGGGAAGTTAGACCGAGCTACCATGGACGTGATCAAGAGGCCTCGCTGTGGAGTTCCCGATGTGGCCAACTATCGCCTCTTCCCAGGTGAACCCAAATGGAAAAAAAATACTTTGACATACAGGTAATGAGATCGAGTCTTTCCAAATTCACAGAGAAATAGCCTCCCTCTCCTTTTCTTTGAAAAATATCTTCCTTCTGATGTGTATAAAAATCATGACTCGCCCCAATCATAAGAGAGAATGAGAACTTTTTTGGTCTATTCTTTAGACAATGGAGAATTCACAAGAAAACATGACCTCAAGATTGTCGTAATGAGTGGCCATTTTAGGTATGACAATTTTACCAGTTTAGAGACAACACATTTTTCCATAAAGTAAAAGAATCTTGTCTAAGATTAATAACCTGATGGTACCAACCAGTTTCCTTAAAACAATCTTCTAAATTAGAAGTAAGAAATTATTTATTATTAATTCCAGAAATAATTTATTTGCAATTTATTAAATGTCTGCCATAGGCATTCAGTTTCGGAGATAAAAGGTAAGTACATCATTTTCCCTCGCCTTTTGGGGAGAAATACAAGCAAATAGCCGCAGCTCCAGGTGAGAGATGGGAAACCACAAGTCGAAGCAGACAGCTGCGGCAGCATGTGGAGGAGCTACCAGGTCTCCCAGGGACGGCCCGTGCCATCCGCGCCTGACCCGAAGGCCACGCGGGAGCTGGCCGCCCCGAGGCCCCGGCTCCCCCGTTTCCGCCTCGTCCTCCGCCGCTCCCACACGTGAGCCCAGCCCCCAGGGCCATCCTCCGGTTTCGTCCTGCCCCAGGGGGAACAAGGACTGTGCATCACCCAAGGGGACTCACCCAGCCCGAACCGACCCCCGCGCTGTGCTCTGGTGTCTCAGGCCTGCGCTCCAGCCCCGCAGCCCGCATTCATTTGCGGGCCCAGTGCTGGCTTCCTTCCCCGCTCGGTCCACCTCCGATAGACCGGCCGTGGTGCTTCCTAATTATTATAGTGCATTTTACTGTTACCGATGTTCAGGAGGTGAGTTACAGCTCTTATCTGTGTGATGGAAGCAATCTGCTGCGGCTCATCTCTTCCCAACTTGACCTTCGCTGGCAGGTTGGTTGCTGAAGAGTGTTTCCAATACTGTAATCAGCAAACCCTGCGAGGGGAGGGGGGTCGCTACAGAACGAGCTGTTAAGCTGTCCCAGCACTCCGGTGACTCCTTGTGACAGCTGAGAGCCCAAACCCAAGCAGAGATCAGATGATTCCTCTAGGCCACTTGTTAGCTGCTATGAGCCTTTGAGTCCATAAGGTGGCACTCTGGATACAGCTATCAGTCTCTGCTTCAGTTTAAGAATGCCTCAAAGATCTTTCTTGGGGGGGAAAAAAAAACACCTAAAAGAAACTGAACAGGCTAATTCATTTCAATGTATGACAAAACCCACTGCAATGATGTAAAGTAATTAGCCTCCAACTAATAAAAATAAATGGAAAAAAAAAAAAGAAAGAAACTGAACACCCACGAGATTACGAGGTAAGAGAGGACATTTTTATATAAACTCATGAAGTCTTTCCCATCATCTCCTAAACTGTGTCATAGGAAGTTTTCCTAAACTGTGTAAACTTTCCTAAACATTTCCTAAACAACATTTCTGAGCACGTAGTTTGTGATTACGTTTGTGCTATATCACTTCAGTTGTGTCCGACTCCTTGCAACCCCATGGACTGTAGCCCGTCAGGTTCCTCTATCCATGGGATTCTCCAAGTGAGAATGCTGGTTGCCACACCCTTCTCCGGGGGATCCTCTCGACGCAGGGATCAAACGCACCTCTCTTTTGTCACCTGCATTGGCAGGTGGGTTCTTGACCACTAGCGCCACCTGGGAAGCCATAGTCCGTGATTACACACGGCAAAGACAAGGGGATAGATCAAGCCAACTTGGGATTTGAAGTATAGTGTTCTTGTGGTAATATTCTTTGGGCACTTCCCAAAAGCCCTCAACACACCCACAATGACCATCCACTTCCTCCTGAACAACTCTCCTTCTCCTCCGCTCCCCTTCTCCAAAAAAAAGGACTAGAGACTACCTTAGCACTCTGTGTAGCTACTGGATCTCAGAATAACTTCTTTTAACATAGCCCAGAGGACTGAAAGGACTTCCCTGTAGCTCAAACGGTAAAGAATCTGCCTGCGATGCAGACCAGGATTCAATCCCTGGGTCAGGAAGATCGTTTGGAGGAAGGGAACAGCAATCCACTCCAGTGTTCTTGCCTGGAGATTTCCACGGACAGAGGAGCCTGGCGGGCTATAGTTCGTCAGGTCGCAAAGAGTCGGACAGGACTGAGCAACTAACACGCACGCAGAGGACTGAAAGGGCTTCCCAGGTGGTGGCAGTGCTAAAGAAGCCTCCAGACAAAGCAGGTAGACATAAGAGATGGGAGTTCAATCCCTAAATCGGGAGGATCCCCTGGAGGAGGACATGGCAACCCACTCCAGTATTCTTGCCTGGAGAATCCCACGGACAGAGGCGCCTGGTGGGCTACAGTCCATGGGGTCACACAGAGTCGGACACGACTGAAGTGACTTAGCATGCAGAGGACTGAAATAGATAAAATATATCCTAGTGCCTATGTGCATAAACTTTGGAGCCATAAAGAACTGGGCTCAGTTCCTGACTAGTCATGAAACATAGAGTGATACTATCACCTCTGAAGGCGACTGTGAGGGTTAGCGGGTGTACCACATTGAAAAGTGCCTGGAACCGGGTCCAGCCCTTAGCGTGTGTTCCCAGAACGTCGGCTGTCATCACTTCTACTGTATCAGTCTCTAGACCCTCTGGGTGAGGACCTCTGTCCACGTGCTCTTCCTTTCTGGTGCATCCCTTCTCCATGCCTGTTATCTCCAGCCCAACACACACAGGCTGCTATGTGGGGATGGATAACTTATCTACAATATGAGAATTGGGGATGCTGACTATACATAGCCATGACAAAGCACAGATTCATGTTATGCAGTGGGAGCGGCAAATTCGGAAAACACTAACTGTTCCCTTTAAGAGTCCCCGTTCCCGCTCTGGACACTCTAGCTCCCTCCTCTTGGATCCAGTTCCTGGAGTGAGAGATCTTATTCCTTCCCTCGCAGTTGCTGGGTTTAGCTATTTCCCTTCCTCTCTGTGGGACATGGTCCCCTCCTCTGGGGCCTGCGGGACAACCACTGTTGATTTCTGGTTGAGACTGCACCACCTACATCAGAATAGCATGGGACACTTATTAAAATGCAGATTTCTTGATCATGTGTGTTTAACAAGTTTTCTGAATTGTTATCACAGGTCCTAAACTTTGAGAACAACTGAGTAGGCCCTAAAAAACACTAGCTTTGTTCATTAGTTCATCCATTTAGCAAGTGTTTGTTAAGCACCTACCATGGGCAAGGGCCAGGGCTAGAACCTGGAGAAGTAGACTGTGTGTCTGGCTCTCAAGGAGGGCATTTACAGAATTCACTTCTAACTCTGCACCCACTATTCAACCTGAGCCCAAGGTCCCAGGTTGCAGTTCCTTTCTTTCGCCCTTCCTTTATGGCAGCTTAGAATCCCCAGCCCCTGGGTGCCAGAGTGGCACATCCTAGAAAAACACCAATGGTCTCTACCCACTGTATCCAAAATGCTCTATCCTTCTATGCCTTCCAAGATCATTGTCAGAGTAGGACTTGATGAAAGAAAGACTTGAGCTTTTTTCAGCCCAAGTGAGCATCCTTGTGACAAGCCACCACTTCCTCTTTAAGATGTACATTATTTTAAGAAAAAACATTCCCCCTTGGCCCTGGGGAAAACCTTCTTGTCTTTGAATAAGAATTTGCAAAACCTCAAAACCCTTTGTCTTTACTTTTTACAATTGAAACATTTTGGTCCCTTTAGGGGAAAAAGATCCCTTCTCAATTAAAACCGCTTTAGGAAAAACGGACTTCTAGCTACTCATAAAGTTACACAGGTATTATTCTTTCCAATTAGTGATGTGTAATAACAACAAAAGTCAAACTGTTTCAGCATCAGAAATCTCAAAATTTTTTTTCACCCCTTCATTTTTCTTATGTTAGCACGTTTCAGTAATGTAATAAAGATGAAAGCAAAATAAGAATCATTATTTTTTTGAAAAATCTCTAAATTGTAGATTTATATTTCACTATTTTTATTTTCAATATGAACTTGACGTAATTCTTACTTTCTTCACTTAGGAGCACTTGTTAAAAGCAAAATGTGTTGCTTCTGTATTGACAGAATATCCAAGTACACCCCTTCCATGACCCCTGCGGAAGTGGACAGAGCCATGGAGATGGCCCTGCGGGCCTGGAGCAGCGCCGTCCCTCTGAACTTTGTCAGAGTCAACGCGGGCGAAGCTGACATTATGATCTCTTTTGAAACCGGAGGTACTGTGGTACTTCCTGGATTTTGTCTATTAGTCCAGAGGAAAAATATTTCAATACTTTTCCTCATACAATGTTTAATCCATGTGAGCAGCAAGCTCCTTCTCAGAGCTGTGAAGGGCAGAGGCCGAGATCATGGCAAAGTCACGACCTTTATCTAGTCAGAAAATAGAGCCGGGGAGTTGTCCACATGACTGAGCTACAGAACAGCCTCGGCGTAATCCATTTTTGCCATGACATTGCCCCGTCAGGGCCAACTTCTGTCAGGTTTAGCTTCTTGATGGCTGGGAGACCCTCTGCCCTCACCCCATCCCCATGACGGTGTCCATCGCTCCCCTTCACGTTAGCTGAGGGTCTGCCCCCTCTGAATCCTCTCTGAGGGTCAATCCCACAGAGCTCCTGCAGCTTTCCCGGGCAGCGGCGGTTAGGAGGGCGGCTGTCACTGCTGTCTGGCCCACGCTTCAGACGCCTGTTGTGGAGTTGCCAGGCCTGCCACCAGCCTGCACACTCCATCCCTCACTCGCCCTTGTTTCAGAGAAACAGGTCTAGTAGTAAATGAAGGAAAGGCTGTGTAAGTCCTTTCCCTCTCAGCTTTCTCAGAGTCAAGGTGAGTATCCCTGCCTCTTTCCCTCCACAGACAACCTTTCTAAGTGTCCTCTTTAAAGTCTTTATCCTAATTTTAATCTGATGTCACTGGGGAGAGACATGCGTAGAAGCTGGGAGAGAGGATCAAGCAAGTCCTGAGCTGGAGCCTTTGAGAGGTGGTCCTGGGGTGACCTGGCCCATGGTGGGTCTCGCCCCTCCCGCAGGGTCAAGGTTACCTCCGGGGAAGCGGCAGGGCCGTGTGGCTTGGGGCAGCTTTGGGGGTGATGGGGTTAACATCTGGCTCTCTCTTGATCTTCCAAGCTGGTGCTCTGTTCCCTAAAACAAGTGGACTGGGCACTCTGCTGCCGTTTAACCAGGACCTCAGGGCATGTACTGATTAAACAACACTGCCCTGAAACTTGGGGAAGGGTACACCAGAACTCTGATTTGTTGGTTTTAAATAAAGCAAGGTATTCTCACCAAAATTCTGAAAATCTGTGAAATGTATTCTATAATATCCCTCATTTTATCCTTCCTCCTTTTTTATTCTTTACTTTTAAGTAAATATAGATACTAAAACAAAAGCCTATTAAGCTTTAAAAGCTGTAATTTTATAAATACTTCTGTTGCTTTCAGGAGTTTTATGCAAAATTGATAACAAAATTACAGAGAAATTTTCTTTCTTTTTTTGACACGTCCTTAAATTATATTGGGCTATACAAGCAGAAAGCACATGCTTGTCCAATTTACTATCATTGTCTCAGCCAGATAATATTTTTGTTTTGTTTTTTTGTTAGCAATTTTTTGACATATACTTTATATACAATGTTGTTAGTTTTAGTTGTACAGCAAAGTAATTCAGTTTTATATATATATATATATATATATATATTCTTTTTCAGATTTTTTTCCCTTATAGGTTATTATTACTAAACTATACTCAAAAATGTTGAGTATAGTTTCCTGTGCTATGCAGTAGTTCATTCTCAGTTACCTATTTTATACATGGTAATGTGTATACGTTAATCCTAAACTCCTAATTTGTTCCTCCCTCACTGCCACCCCCTAAATAATACGTTGAAAGCACTTGGCCAACATGTTCACAGTCCAGTGAGTGGACAAGATGGTGGCTGAATAACCATCTGCCTTTCTCCTTTTGTAATCTGCAGCATGGTCATAGTCTACAGTAGGCCTTGTGCCAATTAATAGACAGTGCAACAAATACAATAACAAAAGAACATTTTTTAAAATTTGTAATGCTTACTATCTTTAAAATACAAAATATTGCTTTTATTATTTTAATAGATCACTCATTGGCATGTGAGATTTCTCTTATAAAAAAATGAAATTGAAAAGTAAATCTATTTGTATGAGAAATGTCAGTGCTACTCAAAAAGTTGTCCATTCCCTGTGATGTTATGTACCCCTCAAAATTTGCTAGAAAGACTAAATCCTGTTGGCATTTCTCCCCATATGTCTAGATCACGGGGATTCCTATCCATTCGATGGGCCTCGAGGGACTCTAGCCCATGCATTTGCACCTGGAGAAGGCCTGGGAGGAGATACACATTTCGACAATGCTGAGAAGTGGACTATGGGAACGAATGGTATATATGCACAATTCACCATAACCTGGAAAATATTGTACCTTCTTCTGGGCCTCCATCATGAAACCTTGAGGTTCAACGTCCCAAGCCACCCTTTAACTAGGGAGGCTGGCTAGGAAAAACAAGTAAGCCAAAAATCCAAAAGGGAACACCATAAGGGAAAAGACCCATCCTCAATTGTGCTGTAGATTTGTCTGATCTCTGGTTCACAGGGTATAATCCCGAGAAACAGCAATCCCCTACTCAACACACAGCAGTATTTTTCTTCAACTATGTAGTATTTTTTGTTTCTTATTTGTACTTGGAAATAGGTCACATTCAGAAATGACCTGAAAAGAATTAACACTTTACTGAGAGATGCAATGGGGATGGGTTAAAATTTCTAGAACATCATGCATGTCATCTGGAAACCTCCAGTGTGAAACATGGGTGGATAACAGACAGCAGACAGGGAACCAGTGAAGCATGCACGGACTAAATCTCGGTGTTACTGCCACTGTTAGTGCTAAAGTCCTTCTTCACGGAGCACCATTGACCATGAACAAAATGCATGGATTTACATTTCCATCGTCCCCTACCCCAAGCCCCTCCTAGCCAAGGGGGGAAGAACTAGGCTAAAGTCAGCAAAGCTAAGTGCCAGAACACCCTGCCAACATTATAATAACCCAGTTCTGAAAAGAAAATGAACAAACTGATTTGGCATAAATTCTCCTGTGAAGACAGGAAATAGTGAAAATAAAACTCTGTGTTGATGCTGCCTTTTCCTCTCTCACATCATCTAGGTTTCAATTTATTCACCGTTGCTGCTCATGAGTTTGGCCATGCACTGGGCCTGGCCCATTCCACAGACCCGTCAGCACTGATGTACCCAACTTATAAGTATCAGAATCCCTATGGGTTCCATCTCCCCAAGGATGACGTGAAGGGGATCCAGGCACTGTACGGTACAACTGATACACTTCTTTGACTACAGACCCTGAAAGTGACAGGCATTTGGTCTCACAGCAAAGTGTACTCTGCCAGACATTAACCTGCATAGGTGAAGATTAAGCTAGAAACCACAGCCCCAAATATCCCCTCTTAGGAAGAATGTACTTACCATATATGAGTATTGCTTTCTTTTGTAAGATGAATATTTAAATTTTACATCTTTCCTCCGAGCATATTGGTCCATGGCCATAGAAAATACAATCATTTGTGTGTATTTTGAGTGTTGATCAGGGGTTAGATGTTGGAAGAGGATGGATTTTTTTTACAGCTCATATATATAGTGTTTATTCATTTGCAAATACGTGACCTTGTCTCAGGGCTTCCCTGGCGGCTCAGACAATAAAGAATCTGCGGGAGATCCAGTTTTGAGCCCTGGATCAGGAAGATCCTCTAGAGAAGAGAATGGATCTTATCTTCCTAAAAATAGTAATAATGATGGCAATAACTGTGCCATTGAGTCATATAGCCGATCTGCAGTTTACAAATCATATTCATAGGAGTCATCACATACCATCCTCATCACCAGCCTGAGGGATGTAAAATGTTTTGTGCCTTTTATAGTTGAGAAAGCTGAGGCTCAGAGACAGTAACTATCCCAAAATATCCAAAATTATCTGAAATGTTACCATTCTTTTAAAGGTGATAAAGGATTATTAGGAACTTTATATCCCATTTTCCTGAACATAAAGACAAGTCCATTAATCCATGAGAAGAAATCTTGAAACATCACTAGACCTTGACATTTTGTTTGTTTGATGGGTGAAAAGCTGAAAAATCTAGGACGCTGCCTTTCCTGTAAGCCTCAGAACCTGCTCATTCAGCCTTTACTTGTAGGCACTTTTTTCTCTCTCAGCCTAGAGAAGGGCCTACAGAACCCAGCTCCTCCTGCCTTCCCGCACCTGGCCTGTCCATCTACTGTAGACGTAGGTACACACAGCTGCAGTCAGATCTCACCCGAGGCACATAAAAGACAAATTTCATCCCAAGAAGTGTTCAGCCAGGTATATCCCTTCAGAGGGGGGTCTATGCCAGTTCTGCTTCTCTCTTGAGTGACAGGGAAAAAAAAAAAAAAAACCTGCGTATCTCTCCATATAACAAGCTAGGGCTCCAGTGCAAAACCCTTCCTATGGCCATCAAGGAATGCGTGCTCAGTCACTAGCTCATGTCCGACTCTTTGTGACCCCATGGACTGTGGCCTCTGTCCACGGAATTCTCCAGATGAGAACACCGGAGTGGGTAGTTGTGCTCTTCTCCTGTGACCCCCAAGAAGAACCCACTCCAAATCTGTGCCTACCCTTTATGGGTCTTTGTGCCCTGGAGCGTCACCGCCATTCTGACAGTCACTGTTTCTCAGCCAAGAGATGAAGTTTATGTTTTGACAAGGCCATTTTTCTGCAAGTGAACAAAGTACATAAACATGGTTTTATATCACCGAGAAGCACAAGCCTCACCTACTGCTAACCACCTTACCACCCTGAGCTTCAGCAGAGTGCTTAGAGGATGAGTAAGTGTTCAAAACACGGTAGCGTGTTTCTGATCTGACCAGTTTCCACTTTCTGATCTTTTCCCAAAGCCTCACCCCAACCTCTGATCTTCATCCTATTGCTGACCTTTCTCCACCCGGGTCTTACCCACCTCACCCCCTGGTCTCACTCCTTCCCTGATCCCCAGGTATGGTAACAAGACTCGATTCAGCAGAGGAACCTGCCAGGACCAGTGACTTAGGCAGCCCCAGCTCACTCCTCTGTAGTTGGCAGACTGTTCCTGAGGACTGTCTCAGGAAAACTCAACAGCATTTCCCCCAAGGGCCAGGTCCTGTGTTCCAAGAGGATCTACCAGAAGGTGCCTTTAAATGGTAAACACCTCCATGGTACTTCAGGGCCCCAAGAATTTGCTCAGCCTCTCCTGGACACGTAAGAAAAGGCTTATGCACAGGGCAGGATACCCAGAAGCTGTTCAAAAATAAAAAGAAAACACACAAGAAAGATATAATCTTATGGAAAATAAGAGTACTTAATAACAAACAAACCAAAAAAACACAGAGGAAATTTTCAAAATAGATTCCTAATCTGAAACACCCATAGCTATCAAAGAAATTTGCTTAATAATGAAATAATAGCAGCCATTTTTTTGGAAATTTTGTTATGTGTCAAACACTCCACTAAGTGCTTTTAAGGCATTATTTAATTCTCACAGAAACCTGAGATAGGTACCTTTATTGCCTTCCCCCATTTTACTATGAGGAAACGGAAGCTTAGAGAGATTGAATTATTCATCTGAATCACACAAGTCCTCCCTTGTAGCTCAGTTGGTAAAGAATCTGCCTGCAATGCAGGTGACCTGGGTTTGATTCCTGGGTTGGGAAGATCCCCTGGAGAATGAAATGGCAACCCACTCCAGTATTCTTGCCTGTAGAATCCCATGGACCAAGGAGCCTAGCAGGCTGCAGTCGATGGGGTTGCCACAGTCAGACAGGACTTAGCGACTGAACCACCATCGTAGGAGTGAGCAACCAATGAAGCCAGGATTCAAACCCAGGTCCTCATGTCATTGACCTTGTAACATACAATGGAAGTGGGTCCCTGAAGCAGAAGTGTACAGACTGCATTCCTGGTACCATTTTGACTAAGTCACTTTGAATCCTAGGACCTCGGAGAGCATTCCCAGGGAAGCCCACCGCGCCCCACGGCCCCCCTCATAATCCGTCCATCCCCGACCTCTGTGACTCCAACTTATCCTTCGATGCGGTGACGATGCTGGGGAAGGAGCTCCTGCTCTTCAGGGACCGGTAAGCCTGACACGCGCCCCCGGCTCTCACCAGGCCTCAGCCGCGTGCCCAGGCACAGGTTGTTGGAGACGACCTTGTTGCTGCCGTGGGTGACGATCATGCTGAAGTGCTGTCCTGTGTGACAGTCGGATGGGAGGCAGGAGTCTTTGGGGAGACACAGAATCGCCAAAACTACTGTTTGTGGGGTACCTACGATGCTCTTGCCACTGGGCTGTTTTCTGTATAAGTCCAGTATTTCTTCTAATCCTTTTCACTGTGAAGCAGTGTTAGAATCCCAAATTTACAGATGAGGACAGAAGCTCAAGAGAACACAAAATTTTACAAGGTAACACAGTTGTATTAAGTGACTGAGTTATGACATCAGCCCAGATTTATCTGATTTCTACTTTATTCACTTCTGTATCCCTACTGAGAACCCATAGTATATTCTCAATAAATATTTGTTAAAGAGGGTTGGATAGATGGAAAGATGGACAGATAGGTTGTTGCATGGGTGGATGGATTCACGGATGGATAATCAGGTGCATAGATAGATGGGTGGAGAGTTCTAAACTTAGTATTCTTCCTAAACCCCTGTTTCTCAAGGCCTCTTGACTTTTCAACCACCAGTTGTCAGAAAGCACAGAAAGAGAGGGAATATCGGTGACTTCTTGTTATGCTCCAGCTATAGCTACTAAAAGAATACCCTGAGGTTTGTGTTTCTATTATTGTCATTTTAGGAATGTTTCTTTTGGGCTTATTAATTGAAGTTTCAGTAGTTCTGTGAGTTATAAAAAACAATGTGATGGCATTGCTTTTTGACTTTAATGGCATTGGAGACTGAGTAATTTATGATACTGGAGATGCTGGATTTTTAGTGAAGATACTATAGGAGTAAATGCAGATATAGCTATGATTAGTGGTGGTTGGTGGTTGATCTTTATTTTTTAGTATTTTTGTTATGGAGATAATCATGGAAATTAAGTAGACATAAGTTTAATATTAGTGTAATAAAGGAAAAGGAGAAAATTAAAACTTTTTGTTTTGAAATTAATGTGGAAGTTTTTATTTGAAGATAGGAAGTAGGCTTTGGTAATACATTTTTCTAGCCAAATTAAGTGTAATAATAATGATGCTGACTTTTGGCTTGCTGAAAGGTGGATGGATGGTGATAGGCAGTGAGTGATAACTGGAAAAATCTGAAGAGGTTGGAAAATTCATACAGGTGCTTCCCTGGGGACTCAGTCGGTAAAGAAACCTACAATGCAGGCAATCTGGATTTGATCCCTGGGTCGGGAAGATCCCCTGGAGAAGGAAGGGACTGGCAACCCACTCCAGTATTCTTGCTTGGAGAATCCCATGGACAAAGAAGCCTGGTGGTCTACTGTCTGGGGGGGGTCCCAAAGAGTCATATACGACTGAGCGACTAACACATAAAGGGGAATTAATTTTTAGGTTTTGCGTTATAAAGTTAAATTCAAGTACTGGAATAAAACCTGAGAGAGTTACTGCAAAGCTGTTCATTTTAGGTAGTAGGAAAGAGTTATATATCAATAGTTGTTGGAGTAATCTTGTTGGAAAATGCTTCTGATTAAAAGATGTTTAATAGAATCAATTAGGAGAGGATTACTTTCATTTATCAAAATTAGAGTCAAAAAACGAGGTTCTCCTAGACACACAAAGAAAAATAATTTGAATACTTTGGGCAGCTGCTAAAAAAGTGGCAGTGAGTCTTATTAATCAGGTGCAGGCATTAGTATACAATGTGTTAGCAATTTTGATAATTCAATCTTTGGAGAAAAATCCTTTAAGGGAAGGCCTATCTGTGAGCTGTAGGCTTCTGATAGTAAATGAGGTTGAAATAAAGAATAAAACTTTAAATAAGCTGCCCATTTGAAAGGTGTCTTGTTTATAGCTATGAAGAATAGACCCAGAGCATACAAATAATATGGATTTTTTAAATGCAGGTGTGCAGACATAGAAGAATGCTAAGTATGGTTGACTAATACCAATAATAACTATTACTAGGCCTAAATGGCTTGAAGTAGAGAAGAGAGCAATCTGCTTCATGAGAATAGTTGGTGTGGGTAATAACACCTGAACAGATGTCAGTGTTTTGGATAGTTTTATTCTTTTCTACCACTGGTAAAAACAAATTAATGAAAGCTCCAACCATTGTGCTTGAATGAGGCTAAGGGAAGTGGTGGACAAGGCCAAGCTGGAGGGATTCGCCAGCCACAGCTGGAAGTCCCATGAGTAGAAGCGGACAGTGACTAATGTTAAGCGTGAAGATTTGTTGGAAAGCTCGTGAATTAAAGTTGCATTGTTTCTATTCCCCTCCCACGGTGCTGTCTCTGGGAACATGGCTACCAGTTCCTCTGTAATCACTTCTCTCCTTGGACAAAAAGAAACCTCCCAACTGTCACCCCCACTCCTACCTTTACTGGGGACAGAACTCAACCACATCAGAATAGGCAGAGGTAGCTCAGGCATAAGCATGTGTGACATGACTTATTCTTTTTCTTCACTGGAAAAGTGTGTGTTGAACTCATGCAGGGTGCTAACCCCGTCACAGTAACTGGGGCTGTAAAAACAGATCAACAGTCCCCTGGCTTTTGCACACCTCAAAATGAAGGAAAGAAAGATCCAAAGAGCACTGCCATCTCGCTGTGTGCTGTGGGTGTATTTAGTCAGACAGAGAAAGGGCTCTGGTGTCTCTTTCTTTAAAAACACACTAATTCCGTCAGCCCCACCCTCATGACCTTATCAAGCCCTAATCACCTCCCACTGGTCCCATCACACTGGGGGTTATGATGAATTATGGGAGGACACAGTCCATAACACAGAGTAATCATATTGTTAAACATGTTATTGAATATCCTTCCAGACTTTTTCTCTGAGTAGAGATTTATCATATATATGGGAGGGAGACAGGGATATCCACAAAAGTAAGACTTTGTAACGTGCTGGATGTGCTGATTTACAAACTTTTTCACTCAATTATCTCTCATTTTTTCCATGTCAGTGAACTTTAATTTTCATCTTTATTTAATATATGTGAATATTATCCCAGTGTACAGATCTTTACTTATTTACTTATCCCTACTTATTTAACCAGTCCCAAACTAATGAACGTCTGGATTGTTTCCACTTTTTAAAAAGTTAGAAACAGCTGAACTAAATCTTCAACAATGGATGGGCGTCTACTTTTCAAAGCAAGTAAAAGGGAAACCCAGAAATCTAGGCTTTAGCCTTAGGCTAAGTTGGTTTGAATTCTGGTTATGCTTCCTACTGATCAGGTGACACTAGGCAAGTCATGTGTCAAACTTGTGAGGGCTTAATAAAAGGCAGTTACTATATTTAGGAAGGGGAATCAAAAATATGTACAGTGGATTAAGACTTGGAAACAACCAGAGGTATTTTTAATTGTTACCTGTTTCGATTGATTTTTTTTCCTAAAATTTGCTGATTATTTACTTTGTTTTTATTATTTATTACCAAAAAGTAAACCAAAGTGGAATCAGTAGGCATTGAGCCAGGAGTGATAGGCAAGGTGCAGAGCAGGAGAGCCCCAGACACCATGCAAGGTAACGTCGGCTCCATCTGAGGGAATGAACTTGTCAGACTCTGTGCTGTCCTGATGAGTGGGTGCACTTGTGCCCCAGTGCAGCAAGTAGCTTCTTCTTTTGGTATTATCAGTGGTTGTGACAGAGGCAAAGGGACAGTGAAGTCAAAGACAGCCCTTTCACACAATCGTATTTTCTTTAAAAACTAAAAGAAACACTTTTTAAACTTCTATTTATCAAACTATGAGCATTCAACAATTGTTAACAACTAATGGGAGATAATATATCCTTTGATGAAATACCAAATGTAAATGAAATGTAAATATGGACGGTGGTAAGAGAATAGAAAGAGAAGCATAGATATAAGGGGCATTTAGAAGGGAGTAAGCAGGGAAGAAAGATAGCTGATTAACTTATATCTGCTCAGCCATCACCTCCTCATCTTCTTCCGCTCAGGATCTGAGGAGCTATTATGGTAAGGGCAGGTAATTCCAAAGGACTAGGAAGAGCTAGAAGGAGGACAGGGAGCCAGCACTGGAGCTGCCACTAACCCGCCATGGGACCTTGAACCTCTCTTCCTCCTTTGCAAAATCAGGTGTTGCCTGATATTTGTCGTGACTTCCATGTGTTCAGTACTCGGTGCTAAGCATTTTGTTATCAACTCCTTACACAGCCCTGTAAGGTATGAATTAGACATAGAAAAGATGGACAACTTGCTCACGCTCACAGGGCTGGTCATGTTTGAAGCTGGGGCCCACACCCACAGTCCTGTGCCAGGGGCTGTGCTCCAGAGCGGCCTGCCCTGCTGCCTCCTAGGTGCCGTGCAGAGCTGGACTCGCCTGGCGCTGATCCCCTACCGGCCGTCACCAAAAGTCCCCAAGCGCTTGCTAAACCTGGACAAAGAACAAAGACTTCTTTCAGCCACAGCCATCATGGCAACCTGGGGGCCATATGAAAGCATTCCCAGCCTGTTCTCTCCCACCTGCCAGCCTGGAATTCCCCATCACTAACAATAATCTGTTGATGAGACATTTCAGGCTGTGGATGTAAAAACCGCACAGTTTGTTTCCAAAGCATGATGGAATGCAGCGCCTTTTAAAGTCACTGTGAGACTGCTACATTTTCTCCACAGTGTATAAATGGATATGGGTACATTCAAATGTTCTGTTTGAAGAGAAACTTCAGCTACACACACACACACACACACACACACGTAATTCACACAGATTTACTCTTTATAATAAATTACAAAATATTAAGGTTATCTCAGATTTCCTTGAAATGACTGGAACAACAGTCATACCCAAATGATATTTGTATGCCTTCTATTACATGATGCAGTTTTAATGATAAGATCAAGAATATGTCTATCAGCTTCAGATCTCAGAAGAATAATAGCATTTCACATGTAGAATAGGTATAAAGTTGATCATGTCCAAATCCTTCATTTTGGAG